GCCCCCTCTCCACCCCCCCAATCACGAATTCATCAAAGTGTATCATTATCTCTGATTGATAGTCACACCACGTGTTGATGATCGATTGATGTTCAAGATCTCGTGCATTCTTGATGGCATTCCGATCAGGCCAATCACCTAATAGTTTTAGCTTCATAATGCCTGATTGAATCAGAAGCCGGATTGTTTTTGAACACACTCTATTGCACGATAAACATTGAAAGGAGTAACGGTTGTAGCCACGAGGACCTACTATTTGGATACTGGAATCGAGAATATGCGCTACGGGAAGCAACTCATATCAGGTCCCAAGCGACTGGTATCGGGATAGACAACGGAGCAGTTGTTTATCACTGAGGTTGGGTGCAGGTGGAAGGTTTCAAAACTCAGTCCTTCGTCCACCGCAGCCGATGGCATGGAATAAGATCACTTGTTCACGGTCACCGTTAGTAAAACAGAAGGATATTTTTCGCCTAGAGACAAGTATATAGGTGACTCCTTTTCACCCCGTATGAACCAACGGACTGTGGGCTACCAAAATGATTCGCTTTCAACCATGAAGTTGTTAATCGTTTGCAAAAAGTGGCCAGTTGGCGTTTTCTTATAACGCATTATTCTCACTGCTAACAGACTGTCTTTTCACTTCTCAGCATAGACAAAGCAGTGTGATCAAACGCTTTTTGAAATGGCTATCCCGGAGATGGTTTTTGCGTCGAAAACACCGGACAATGGCATACTCCGTACGTGCAAAGCTCTCAAACATTCTGGGGTTTATACCTGTCGTTAATTCCAGTTTGAAGTATACTTTATTAGAAGTCGATTCGAATTTTCGTGACATACCTGCCGTTGATAAGACCTTGCTTGCACTGATAAGAGCAATTGGATGGATGGAATTAAAGTTTGATCCGGACGAAGAGGGACGTTCCGTAATGATACAGCACATGCTTTCCGTCATTTAGAATGATGCGTGTCTGGCCTGATCCCACTGACAAATATAAGTGGTGCATACGAGACATTCGATGAGCCAAGCAAAGTACACACCACACGAGCTGTGTTCTTCAGAAACATTCTGATCGACTGAGTTGCATGATGAAATTCCAAAATTAACAACCAGTAATATAGTTGTGCACTAATGAGTAGTGTATTGTTTAATTTAACTTGTATTACTAATCTCGGGTCTATCTGCGCATTAGAATGTTGCCACTGCTTCGGAGATAGATAGTAACTACCTGATAAGTCCCGATCTCGGATCTAATCAGATGGAGTTCATGTTACAGTGAACATCAGATGAGTTGGGCGAGTGATCAAAATGACCGATAGAGAGGTCCCTCGGTGGTGAAATCCACTGAATAGCTTCTACAAAGTCATTCGAAGACAGATCCTACCCTCCTCTAAGTCATTTTTCAATGTGGTACGGAACCTAGACTTTCTCAAGGATCAAGACATTAGGTGTATACCCGCTTTGGCTAACCGATCAAGAAAGGCAAAAATGATCTATTCCATTTATAGACCATAGAAATACAGGTGACATATGATTCAAAATCCGCCAATTTCGAAAGCCATCGTGTAGAGAGCAAATCACACAACTGAATGTATCGCATGATCGCAAAACGTCTACAACTTACCCCAAATGGTATCTTCTATTTTTGTAAGGAATAAGCCCAGATGGACCAGGTTTCGGGCAGCTTCAGTTGCATCACCTGATAAACGCATCACGATAAAACCTAGACCGGATGCATGGTATCGGCTAGGCCTTACTGAACGCATAAATCATTCTATGTCCGAATCTGTGATGTCAAGACAACAGGGTCAGCATAATTTTGTTCGAGCGAACCAAACACAAGTCATTCCAAATGGCTTTTGAGATAGTAGGCCGACGTAAAGGTTTAATTTAATCTCACCTCCGTAGTAAGTACATTCAATCAGCAGTCTAACACATGTTGAAGTAAATCATGGGATAGCTCTGCCAAAGCATTACATCCGTTTATGTTCACTGCTCAAAATTTACTACAGGGGGTTTGCAAGGCTGTCTGTTCGGGCAATTAATGAACAGCACCCTCCTCCTCTTCAGGTTGCAGGGGCTTCAAACGTACGCGGCGAAAATCATTTTGGCAAATTATTCGTGTATCCCCGAGATAGAAATCCCGCCCACGTTCTGAACACATGGCAGTAACAACTTAGTCATTCTTCTGTTCGTATTCCCTGTCTCAGCACAGAATTCGATGTGCGTGATATTCGCTCCCTAGTTCAGTTTATTGACAGAGGTTAGTGTTTAATTAACTCTTTCCTGATAATCTACTTTTTACCACCTTTAACTAGAAACATAATTGTCAAATCACTTTTCGTGAAAGGGAAATTGACCAACCAAAGCGATCCAATATTGCACACAGGTTAGGAAAAGTTAGTTGGGTCCAAACACAAACTATGGGAGGATAACTCGGTGAACGTAACTGCTTGACCGCCGCTGTGGAGTTTGGAGAGTTTGGTAATTCTCTGTATGAATGGCTATCAAATCGCTGGGTAGCCAAAAGACAACAACCAAAGTCGGCGCACGAAAGTGCATGGTTAATGGTTGTACAAGCTGAACTGAACTGAGCCGAATCGCTGACTAGCAGTGAATAACGCAAACTCGGTTTCACTGAATAAGCGGCCGCGAAAGATTGATTATAATGCTTCAGGAAGAAGTGGACTTTCTTTTAACTATCGTTTTACCTGTAGAACATCACACGAGTCTGCAAACCGAACTGTCACACGGAGCATGTGAATAGCTACTTATATAAGGTATCGTTCCTTCTCGAGTTCTTTCCAGGATAGGTGAATGATCTGATCGGCAAATTGTCTATAACAGCCCTTCTAACTTGCGGATTGTATATGAGTTTGCAAGGGTTTGAGGTGTGACATCGAGGGAATAATGCGTTTAATTCTATTTCCGAGAGCGTATGAAGTATTTCTGTAGCCGACTTTTTATCTGGAATCAAACGATAGCGTAAATGCAAGTAGATAGATAGAGAGTGTCTGAGAAGGGAATAAGTTTTACCAGTTCTTGACCAACTCAACACGTACTGTAATCTTTATTAATGGACAAGTAAGTCTTCCTGATAGCAGCCAATATAATTCTAAAGACGAAATAGGCAATGTGTGCAGTAGATGAGTAGCCTTCGGGCATCCGGTTACTCACATTATTCACTGTGTTCCCAATTCAATAGCTAGGCTTTGCTTGTGCAAATGGGGCAAAGAGAAACAGGGCGAAAGAAGGGTGGAGAGCTATAGACCACAGTCTGCTACTTTCTATTTGCTCATACCCAACCATTCTGAAACTTCTCCATTTGTCTTATAAGTGTGACTTCAAAATTCTGCGTAGTAATCGATTTCTGACTTGTGTTAGAGCTGGAACAAATTTATATTATCCTGGTTCGACGTTTTGCTTTCTGTTCCTGAGAACTAATCGTGCTGTAGATTTCCAGGAAGGAGATAGTGACAGGGGAAAAATGAAACAAAGGGATAAGCAGAAAACAACACTTATGTTAACAATTTCATTTAATTCTCAACCCTTGATCACAAACCGGTACACATGGAAGAGCTTGTTGGCATTCTTTTTGCCTCTCTCTTTTTCTTAGTTCTTAAGTTCTTGTTTTCTAGGCTCCAGAGGTACAATTCATGCCTCATTTATAGTGTTCAATCACACATTTCCTTTTGAAACGACTGCAGTTTAAG